ATCATGAGAAACAAAACCATACTCTTTTAATAGCTTAGCAAAATAAAAAGAAAACCTCCAGATACCTCCAGCTTGTGCTACAGAAGTGGACAAACAGAAATGTACAGAACTGGATTAGCAGATGGCTTTGTCAGCTGCCTCTGTTTTCATGTCAACCTGGCTGGGTAATTAAAATGTGTAAACCAAGATCAATTAGTACACAGTCCCCGCTGTGCTGAGTTCCCACTGTCTTCTTCATTCCTCAACTAGTTATCCTTTCCTAATTAAACATAGCTAAAAGGTACAAAATTCTCCTTATCACTTAATAAAAATATTAATCTTTATGATCAAAAGGATCTTAATATGATAAAAGTCAAAGCATGGACTCAAAGAGAACCCCAGAAGCTACAAATAATCAGGATGGTTGAAGCACTTCTGCCTCATCTATCTCCACTAACAAGCACTGCTCCAAAGAAACCATCAGCTTCCCAATGCTGTCTATGCCTGAGCATCATTGCCTTCTTATCATAGCAGAATTCTCTTACTCTGTGCCTAGACAAGTAAATTTGTTTGTCATTTAAGTATAACAGAAAATACAGAGGAGTAACTGTAGCTCAGCTTCACAGATATCAATCTGGTTAAGTTTCTGTAGTCATCTTTTTAAAAATCAAACATACCTCACATCATATTTTTATTAGCAAGGAATTTTATGTGCCATCACATAACTCCTTCACTAAATTTGTTTACTTTTCCCCAAAGGTTTCTATAGAGTAGGCTACTGCTGACGCATGTAATATAATCCTGGAACACAATGTGTTAAATAATTCTCATCGTGTGCATTCCATGATGAAGCTGATGTGAAAACATTCATAAATTCAGCATAAACACTGGTTAAAGAAAGCCTCTGGAATTCCAGGCTCACTGGACCTCAGTCTGCCTCACTGTTTATTTATATAAGTTTACCATGCAAATGGTTTTCTCTTTGTAATTGAAAAATAAATCTACTTCAGAGCTCTAGAACTTCATTTCAAAATCAACAGTTCATATTAAGAAGAAAAGAACCCTCAATACCTCTAACATAATAGAGAATATTTTGGGCAAGCTTAGGAAAATGCACTATCCTTCCTTTTCTGTTGCTCTGCCCTGACTGTGTTTGGCATGCCACATATTACTCTTCTTATTCAATACCTTCTGCACTTACATGCTCTTGTCACACTTCCAACTCTTCCTTAAAACCTTATTCCTATTGGCATGTTCAAGGAATCCCAGTCTCAAGATTCTGCTCTGCACTTACTGTGCTCAAAGAACATGTATTGAAAGATGAGCTGGAGGAATGCCTTCACTGGGAAGAAACACTCTGCCAGGAATACTGGATCCTCTGCTCATCTAATAAACAATCTACAGGGCCTGAATTTAATTTGCATAAGGGATTAAAAGTGATGGTCACAGTAATATATTAAGACAGCAAAGTGCTATTAAGACTGAACCAACTATTCAGGCCTACCTAGATTCAATGGATTTCTACACAAATGGTCTTGAATACTTTTAAAGTATCGTCTTTCCCTCAGTGGGTGCACTCTATTTTATTTTTTCCTTTTGTCATCAGTAACACCAAATTACCAAAGCACTGAATTTTCTTATGTCAGTAGGACCTCAGATGACACAGAGGTGTAATCCTGGTTTTCTGCCAATGTCCACAGGCCATTCTGATGAGGTTTTAAATGCCAGGCCATGTTCACAAGCAGAAACTGCCTTGCCTCCACACCTAAGCCCTCTTTTCACATTGAGATCTAAACCTCAGCCCCAGTGCAGGTAGCTGCATTTGGCTGATTCTGCAAAGACAAGAATAATGGCAAGTCCTCCCACACAAGCAGGATGGAGTCATCCCACATGATGCCAAATGGACCACGCTGCCAAGGTCTCAAAAATAAGAAAATACACCAGCAATTTGAATTTATTCCTCACAATGCAAGTTCTTGATGAGAATAGAATTCCCTCTAACACTGGTAAATACAGCACTTATGACAGAACTGCACCAAAGCAAAGAATTTGAAAGGGAACAACTAGGACACAGAAACAAGAAAAGTTAGCGCTATTTATGATGCCTTATATTTTACTGGTGGGGACAATGGCAAATCTGACTAATCATAGAATCACTATGTTTGGAAAAGTGTCCCAAGAGTCATTGCTCAGGATGTAAAATGCATACTAATCCCAGCACACACGCTTTAGGAAAGGAAACTTAGGCCAAAGTGGGTCCTACACAGATGACACTTTGCTCCTGCCACACTCTCCAAGTGTGACCAGCCCTCAGGAAGTGTCACACAACTTCAGAACTATCTCTGGACAGATAGGAATTAAGCATGAGGGACAGGAAGAAGTGTCTGTGAACTATTACTCAGCAGCAAAGCAATTTTGATTCAGCAGTGTGAAGCTGTGAAGACATGCAGCTCTCTACAGCCTACTAGGCTTAGGCCCTCAGGAGGCAAGACAAATGAGAATAAATAAATAGCTGCTTCAGAGAGGTAACAACTCAAGTATAGAAAGAGTTAAAGATATAAAAATCAAAGCAGATGAATACAGATGGGACAGGCAGAGTAACACCAAGAAGCAATGAGAAGCAGTTTTCACATAACAGTAGGTTAATCACAGTCGGGCTTTTGTAAGCATGAAAAACTCAGCATTCTAGAGAGAATTTCAAAGGAAAATTAATTAACATTACAGATGTTCACGTCCAGGACATGCAGCTTATATCTGAGATGACACAGATGAAGGAGTCAAAGGTAGGTTGATTCCCTGTCAAATGCAAGGCTACAAAACCCTTTGGCATCAATATTCTGCAGAGATACAAACCAGGCCAGATTTCAGTTGCCAAAACCAAGGAAATGATGTTGCAATAACCAAGATGCAAAATCTGTGACAGCTTTGATGAAAGTTCAGCAGTATGTACAGACAGGAAAAGCAGACGTGCAGACAGAATTAGCAGGGTTCTGATAGGCTGGACAGAAAGAGAGAGGGAGAGCTGTGAGCTGAAGGGAACACCCAAATTACTCATCCAGAGGGGAAAGCAGCACAACAGCTGGAAGGGCGCATTGTGGGAGCCCTTGTTTAGATGAAGAGTTCCAGATTAGCAATGTTTTGGTTAAGGCAAGACAGAGATGAGGGCATGTTGGAGGTGCACTGGAACTACAGGCTGTACAAAAGCTGATGGATGTCGGGTGCAGAAGCAGACTTAACAACAGTTCTTACTTGACTTCATTAATTTCGTACAATATTTAGCTTTGCCTAGACAACTATTTAACCATTCCAGAAAGGCTGGGCTTTACACTGGGAAGCAATGACTGAAGCTGTTAGGATTTCTGTTCTCTTAGAGCTATGTCATTTGTAACAGATTACTCAAGTAGATTTCCACAGCTCATTAACATTTTCCACTAATTAACTCTCAGCTTAGAGGCTTGGGCTTCACTGTGTTTCCAGTAACAAAGTTTCTGGCACTGCCTTTTCACACTTTACTCAATGCCCCGATTACTCTTACAACAACAAGCTCTCATTTTCAAGACGTTTGCATGTTCCAATAGCTAGCAACAAGAGCTGCAACTTCTCATCCATCTGTACATACTGGTTTGAGGAATGTGCTGGATCCAGTAATAGGAATCTGAAAGACTGAATGGCAATGCAGAATTCTCAGTTTTCTGCACTTCTTTCTTCATCCCCATTACTTAAAAAAAAAAAATAAAAAATAAAAATCAACCGCGTGTCAAGTAAACATGAACCATTTCCCTAAACTCCTGCCTTCCTGCAACTGATCACACACCCGGAGTTAAAAGCCTTGTCAGTCCTTGCTGTTTATCAAGCTTGCTGATAGAAGTACACAATCACAGACACAACCACAGACACAGACACTAATTAACGACATTCCACTGCGCCACAAACGAGAAGTGCCAAGAGATCTACCTTGCCCTGCCCTGCTCCTTACACAGTTCCCAGTTCATGAGCACACATGCACACAGACAGCAGGCAGACAACAAGGTACAGAGATAATGAATGGGTCTCTGGGGTTTCAGATTTACCTACAACCGCGTCCTTCCATCAGAACTTTAAGAGTGTTTTGCTTCTGGCACTAGCATTAGCAATCCCACAAAAAAGACTGTTAAGAAAAATGTTGCTCAACATTAGAGAGAGTTAGAAACAGAGTTAGAAAAATCTGTGTGCTTCCCAGGAGCACTCTGCAAAATAACTCATGAACTACCAGATATTGTACGAGCTGTGCATCGCGTAGCTGCTGCCAATGGGTGACACGAGTCACTGACCCAGGATAACACCAAACAAAACAGAAAATGAATATCCTCACGAGAAGAAGAATGTGTACACCTCATGTATATAAAGACGCAAACGGAATCTGAAATAAAGGACATGCATATGGAAAGGGATCATGGTGGGGCTGGGGGGCAAGAGTTAAATGCAGCAAAGCCTCTTGCTGGTGTAAATAACATTTGAGTTTAATTTTATATCCAGTCTATCCAGTTCACAGTCCTTTCAGTCCTACTGTGGGAAAATGGGAAGTGGGAAAAAAGTCCCACCAAGGAGGCTCTTTGCTTCCCCTCTTACTTTCTTTTTTTACTTTACTTGAAAAGTCTGTGATGACCTAAAGAAAATAACAAACCAAAACTGTGTCCAGTATTTTAAAATCAGCTTTCCCTTGGGTCCCAAAACTGCATCTGTTCCATGTGCACTAAATTCAGCA